GCTAGAATTGAAAACTTTAACAATATCAAGAGAGCTCTAGGGTATGTTATGCAAATGTTAGAACAACATCCATAGATATTGAAGATTTCTGAGACATTTCCAGACCTAGTAAGGAGCAGCGAAAGTACATAAGTGGTCTGGGGAAGGGAGGGTGTGTACACAGTGACCAGCCTGGCTGCCAGTCATACAAAGTGGAAATGCTTGGTTAAATTAGGGACTGCATGTTTGATGCAAGCCATGGATGTTTGCCTCTAAAACATTTAGTCCATTTAAGTCTTGTATATTTGCTTTCCATTGCTGTGTTAAAACACCCAAGATAATAAACTTAAAAAGTGGAAAGGTTTATTTTGACTCAGTACCAGAGGTTTCAACATGACTCTTTGGCCCATTATTTTGGGGCCTATGGCAAGGCAGTATATCATGGTAGAGTACAGGTAGAAGAGGCTGCTCACCTGATGATGGCAAGAAAGTGAAGAGGAGAACTGAAGGGGCTGCATCCCATTGCCCCTTCAAGGGCACATCCAAAGTGACCTGATTCCCTCCTACTAGGCTCCGCTGCTTAAGGGTTCCACCACCTCCCAGTAGCACCATGGGCTGGAAACTCATCTTTAACACTTGGGCCTTAGGGGGACACCCCATAGCACCTGTGTGCAGGAAGTATAACCTAAACTGTACCAAAAAAAGCATGTGGAACCCCGGCCATCAGTATCAGCTGAACAGTTGGCTGAAATCATGTCCATCCAACCTATCAGCTAAGGGGTTGGAGATGCACAGGTAGGCAGGTTGCTCCAGCTGTTTTGCATACCATTAAGAAAATCAGAGAGTGTTTGAAGAGAGTAGGATAGGGTGAGATTTCTTTAGGCCAGGTGGTCAAGGAACATCTCTAAAGAAAGGAAATTTAAGTGGAAGCTTGAGAGTTGTGAAAAGCAAACCATGCATAGAATGGTGAAGATCAGAGTCCAGGAGGGGAAAGAGCATGTTCAGGGCCCTGAGGTAGAAACAAGGTTGTGATGGAAGAAGGGAGGAGGGCGTGGGCAGGAGTAAAGGGATCTGAGCTGAAGTTGGAGCGCAAGCAAGAGCATGATAGTGGGTATGGGGAGTCCTGGGGAAAGTGTAAGCAGGGGGATTTAATGTTCTTACATTTTGAAAAGATATCCTGGCTTCTCTTAAATACCAGGAGACACCAACATGATAGTCCCGAGGCAACATAAATTAAGTGCCATAGAAGTTGTTATGGATTGTGTCTAAACGTCCTCTCAAAGCCTCATGCAATCATGGTTTTGGCTTCTAGAGTTTATGACTGGGTGTGGGCAATACACCCACCCTGGGGCGGGCAGCCTGCATACAGTATAAGGGAGGGAAAGAGGCTTTCTCCTCTGCTCTTCCTTTTGCTGTTGCTGCTTTTGCTGCTTTCTGCCACCACAAACTGTTGCCTTCTGCCGAGTATGGACTGAAACTTCTGCTAACTTTGAACTAAATAAACTTTTCAATCTTTAATTTAGGTGTTGGGTATTTTATCTCAGCTGTGAGAGGAAAGTAACCAAGACAGAATTATTTGATCAGAGGATACCTGGTCACAGGACAAGTAGCTCATCAGTGGGGCCAGAGTGTACTGTGAACACTCCGAGTGGGGTGGGTCATGAGGGTTTCTCCAGGGTGGGTGCTGTGCAAGGAGAGGCCTTTCCCATGAGGGAAGGACCACAAAGACAGCACAAGCACCCTCATGCACACTGAAGTATCAGAGCGTCTCAGCGTATGCCCCTGCATGCCTCCATGTCCATGGCAGGCATCACCGCTGATCACAGCCCCTCTGCTGTGCAGTGAGCTAATTCGCAGTCTCAGAGCACCACTGAAGGGAGCCAGCAGGTGGTAGAGAGCCTATTTGCCACTCCTGAGAGGCAGTGGCATCAAAGGGCAGAAAGCTGATAAAGGTCTAGAGGTGGGATTCTACTGATGCAAGCTGAATTCTCTCAGCTCAGGGGTCCTGGTTTGGAAAGAAATGGTGATTTCCGTCAATAGCAATGACTGGCTTTTCTCTGTCTTCCCTCCCCTGACCCCCAATCCAGTCTCCCTGTCTGCCTTGACCATCAGCCCTGCCAGCAGCATCCCCCGTTTCCTGCCCCCTCTAGAGGTCACTGGGTTTCATGAGCCTGAGCCCCCAAGCCTGCCTGGGAGTCCCGTCCTGCATGCACTGCTGAGCTGAGCCAGGCTATCTTAGTAGTGGTACTAGGGGGACATTTCGTAGATCACTCAGTTCCATTTCTGTAGGGCAATCTGGACTCTTGAGTGTTGAGCAGTGGGAAGGCCTCTGAGTTCCCTGTGTAGGCTGAGGCTCCTCGCACGCCCCCCTCCCCCCATCAAGGGAGACCAGCCTGGGGCGGTAGACTTGGGTGTTCCCCTGAGGCAGAGTACAGGGAGCTGGCATCAGGCTAGAGAGGGTGAGGGGGACTGTCGGGTTGGTAGAACTTTTTCTTTCTGACCATATGTCTCAAATAATGCTTTATTTCTCTTTATTTTAGTTAGAATCAGTTTTTTAAATCTTTTGAACCTTAAATAACAAAACTCCATATGTCCTGCCCTGAGATGGGCACAGTGGGCTCTCTGAGCCTGGCCACTGTGGGGCAGCCCTCCCTCACTCCTGCCTTGCTTTACCAAGAAAAGGATCAGCCTAGCATCCTCTCCTCTGACCTAACCTCTTAACCTGGGCTCTATTCCTTAGAAGTTACTTTTAAAGTTGGGGTACAGATGCTTCAATAGGGGCGAGGGGGGAGAGGAGCCTTCATTGTTCCCAAACATAGATGCCCCAAGGTCGGGTTCCTGATGACTCCCCAGCACAGGCGGAGCTTCTGCCCCAGTACGCTCTTTCTCACACACATGCATATGCGTGCCCTGCTGTCGAGGTGGCTGCTGCTGCAGATGGTGCACTATGTGTTCCCCATCCAGGGCTGGATTCAATGAAATGGAAATAGCTCTGTGTGTTCTGTATGCTTCAGGTATGTTCTTCTTTGTGGGCTTTTGTGGTTGCTCTTGGGAATCTGCTTGTAGTCTGAGTATAAAATTGTTTCTGTGGGGAACAACCAACTTGCCATAACAACCCTTTTGTAACTTGATAGTTTAGAAAGACAAATGTGTTATGATGATGCTGCATGTTCACTTCTGGGAAACAAGGCTCTTATTCACAAGTGATGACCTTGGTCCCTCTGAAGTTTATGGGGAGAGGGTTCTGACTGGGCTCCAGTCAGGGGAGGTTGAGCTGTTCCACAGGAGACTTTGGGAGCAGTCTTTGGGCAGTGGAATCGATGGAGGTTTTGCTGGGTTTAGCCGCTCTGGCCGTTTCTTACTGACTCTCCACCCCCACCCCCACCCCAGTCTGGGGAGTTGACTCAGTGGTAGCAAGCTGGAAGTCCTAGCTTCAGTCCTCGGCACCAAAAACAAAAAAATAAATAACCTTCCCGAAAAAAACAATTCAACCAAAAAACTACAGTAAAATTTTAAAAAAAAAATTTTTTTAAACCACTCATATGTCCTTTCATCTAGAAGTTTTCCCAACCCTCTGGTGACCCTTGTTTTTGTCTAGCTATTTAATTAGGGATGTTCTCCTTCCTAGCAATTAAGTATTTGTGATGTGTCTATTAAGTGGTGATCCCTTTGCTTCATGTGGAGGAACACAGTAGAAAATCTTGAGGTGCTGCCTTTTAGGAGTCACCATTTGGTACTCAGAACCCATTGTGATGAATGTTAACATGGAAACACGGTGTAGCAAGGATGTAAGGCTTACCAGTGCCAGCTCCCCAGAGTGAGGGGCAGGGATGGGGACAGGAAGTCTTCTTCCTTTACTTGTTTGTTTTTGTTTATTTGTTTGCAGTACTGGGGGATAGAACCCAGGACTTTCACATTGAACTATCTCTAGCTCTTTAAAAAAAATTTTGCGACAGGATTTTGCTAAGTTGTTAGGCAGGATTCAAAGTTACAGTCTTTCTGCTTCAGCCTCAGAGTTCTCTGATCCTGTGAGCCTACAACCGTGTGTCTTCCTTTCTTTATGTTTTTCTGTGTCTTAGTCAGAATCACAGTGCTCTCAGCTCCCACATAGTAGCACTCCCATGACAGGGCTGAGTGGCCTCTTCATACCCATTGATCCTGGTTTATGCAGTGTCCCCATGCAGACAGCTCCCCTTGAAAGTAGCCTTCAGCCAGTTAGGACCCTGTCATCTCCCAGCACCCCAGCCCCCTCCTGCAAAAGAGCCAGAGAACACTTTTTCTTCAGAAGTGGGTAAGTTTACTAGTGTCCTGACGTCATCTGCACAAAGGGCCTGTTTTCTAACACGCATCTTCATGACATCTGACTGTATTCTTGTGGTTGTAAGGAAAGAGCAAAGCAGTCTTTTGCCACAGAAAGTACCATTCATTTGGAAAAGCAAGTCAAACCCCTGTGTCTCATCATAACCTCTATCCTGTGGGGACAATTAGAGTTTAATCTCTCCCCATACTTGTGCTTCTGAAGATTCTTACTCCCAACTCTAGTCTGGGGAAGATGGTGAGAGTGCGTCACATGGGACCAGAAGGTCCATGCTGCCTGCTCTGTGGCCCCCTGCTGAATTGCTTGGGTTCTTAACCCCACTCTGTGACCTTGGCTATGCGTGCAGTCTTGAGCAGTCACCCATCCTTAGGCTTGTCTTTCCTCATCTGTAAACATGGAGGCCTTGTCAGTTCCTGTCTTGTATGGCTGATGTGAGGATGCAAAGCGCTAGCTTGGTACCTGGCACACCAGCAGTATATCCATGTTGCTCATGTTGTACCTGTAAGCTGTCCATTGTTGTCTCTTGGGTAACTGCCACTGTAGCCTACCAGAAGAGTGCTCTTCTGTGAGCTGGCATCTGCCTGCTTTTCTCCCAGGTACCCAGTTTCTAGGCATGGGGCAGGACTGTCTTAGACAGGCAGCACAGGGGACATCCCAGAACCTTCATGCCACGGCAGTGGTTTCTCTTTTTCCTTGCTCATAGGGTGTGGACACTGTAAGAAAATGAAGCCAGAGTTTGAGAGTGCAGCGGAAGTCCTCCATGGAGAAGCAGAGGTAAGCTTCCTCTTCCCATACCTCATTGTGCCCTTTGAAGAGTTGCTGGCACATAGAACCTGACAACAGCTTTCCCTGCTAGACCTGAAGCTGCTGTCCCAGTCCTAGAGGTCTGTAGTGCTTCTGTGTCCCCCACTAGACACATTAGGCTATGACAGAGATGGGCATGTGATAGCCCATGGGGCCGTGTTTCTGTGCCTCTGCCTCTCTGCCTGTACCCCTCTTAGCTCTGGGGCCCTAATTTTTGGGAGCAGGCCCTAGATGGTCCAGTGTGGTTGGTGGGGCAAACTTCAAAGCCTCACCTCAGCCCATAGGTGAGAAGTGAGGGACATGGCAGTGTTCGTTCGCTCCTCGGGATGTGAGGCCGCTAACTTTTGGCAGGCCCAGGAAGGTTTGGGGCAGTGCATGGGTTCCTCTTTCCACCAGCCCATGTCTGAGGCTGTAATGCATGGTTGGCCTTTCCCCCATCCCAGAGCTCTGGTGTCCTTGCAGCTGTCGATGCCACTGTCAACAAGGCCCTGGCAGAAAGATTCCACATCTCAGAGTTTCCAACCTTGAAGTATTTTAAGAATGGAGAGAAACATGCAGTGCCCGCGCTCAGAACAAAGAAGAAGTTTGTTGAGTGGATGCAGAAGTAAGTTTTGTGATCTCAGTGATACCTCCTGACTGGCTGTTGGCCACTGGAGACAACTTTGAGGAGGTGAAGTGAAATTTAGGGCCTGTTGTTCTTACCTCAGGGCCCACAAGGAACTGGGACAAACCTGGCCTACTTGGTGTAGGCCACCCCTTCTGGCTGATCCTGTGTGCTCAGACAGCAGGCTACCAGTAGCCCTCCTGCCTGAAGTCTCACCAGAGCTGTGCATCTCCTTTGCTCTTTCTCAGCCACCCTTGCCCCAGCCTCCTGGTGTCATCTGCATTTCCTCCTATGAAGGAGACACAGCTCTGCACATCCCAAGCTGGGCTGATTTCACCCCAAGTTTACTGGGGGCTGCCTGGCCTCCTCAGGTCTCCACAGTACCAGTGGCTGTGGTTTGGAGTTGAGGGTAGAGATTTCAGAGAACCCTCCCTCACATGCAAAGGTCATCATAATCAAGTAGCTTCACATGGTTCTGGATGCTAGAAGTTAGAGAGCCAGAGGCTGGTGGCGATGGTCTCATTGAGGCCTCTCCTTGGCTTGTAGATGGCCACATCTGCCTGTGTCTTCCCATGGTCTGTCCTGTGTGTACATCTGTGTCCTTAGAAAGACATCATCCATAGTGGATAACGGCCTTCCCTAATGACCTCATCCTGACTTAATTGTTCTTTTAAAGACTATTTCCAAAGAAAATTGCCTTCAAAGCTACTAGAAGTTAAGGCTTCAACACTTTTGAAAGGAATTTTGGAATGGCACGGTTCACTCATACAGCCTGCCCATCCAGAGAATCTTAGAAGCTTTGACCCACTGACTTCAGTCACCCAAGTGTTAGAACCTGAGCCAGTCAGCATTTCCCCTCCCAGGAAGGATGGGGCTAACTGGGCCCAGAGCACAGATGCCCAGTGAAAGAGAGGAAGCCTGCAGCCACACTTGAGTAACAGAAGTTGTTAGCAGAACACAGCTATGTGACCTTTCTCCCTGCCTGCCACACTCAGCCACTGCCAGACTCAGATACTCCACATAACTTAAGTATTTCATGATGTCTCTTCTTTCAGCAAGGAAGGGGAGAAAAATAAAAGTGGTCAGATTCCAACCTTCACAGAGGTCCTGGTATGTGGAATGGTAATACCCACATATGAGGTAGACCTTAAAGCCACAGAGCAACCCAAGAGCTGTATAAAATAATGGTGCCTTGATAGAGATGCTTTGCAAGGCATTTGGACACACATAAGCTTTATTGGACGCCTGTCCCTGAATCTTTGATTCAGGAAATGTATATGGGATCCACAGCTATGGTATTAGCAAAGAGCAGGTGAGGCCTCTGGCAAGAAATGAGTGTGCTAGGGAAGTCCTGGTTTTGACTCCTCCCACTTTATCCTGCTCATCCTCTAGAGGAGAATCGTGGGTAGCCAGGGCTGTGATTTAGGCACCAGAAGGAATGGTTTGCCTCTGAAAGAGACAAAGCCCTCATTGCTCTTAGGATTTCTGCTGACTGAAGCAGGTGCTGTATTCATCCCTGCAATTCCAGTCTTGCTCTGGGAAGCACCGGGCCCATGGGTGATCAGGCCTGGTCCTCATGATGCTAGACATGGGGCCCAAGAGCCAGGGACATCAGAATGGTGATCATTGCACCAAGTCCTGGTGCTGAGCCCGGGGCCTTGTCCTTCCTGTCCCACAAGTGAGAGCCTAAGAAGCCTACTGTTGAGAACGTGGGTGTTGAAGTCTGAGAGACCTGCACTCTACTCAGGACCCCAAACCATGTACTTGACTTCCTGAAGCCCCAGCTTCCTATTTGAGAAATGAAAAAGAAACTTTTTCCACACACTTATGGAATTAAGTTAAGTTATTATGAAAAGTTCTTGGTAGCTGACATCATATAGAAATGCTTAAATAAAGGACGTGAGTTTGTTACTGATTCTAGCCCTTGTGGGCTGGGGAACAGCGTTAGTGCACAGGGAATGATACCACCCACACCTTGTTGAATGATTTTTCTCCCAGTGCTGGCTAGCAAACCCAGAGCCTGGCACGTGCTAAATAGCTGTTCTGCCACTGAGCTATACCTCCAGCCCCCTGCTTTCCTGCCTTGTGCCTTGTTTGTCCACAGATCCTACCGAGACCACAGTTTTTATTCCTGTTTCATTGATGAAGAAACTTAGGATCAGAATCATTAAGAGCCTGCCCAGAGACAGATAGTAGTTCTCTCAGGCACTAGGAAGGGAGCCTTCAAGTGGGGTGTGAGGAGCAGATTGCTCTGAGGCTTCTCATGCAGAAGCAGGGAGAGCAGACGGTGCTGGCTGAGGCACGTGATGGCTGCCAGTGTGTGCACAGGTGGCTGAGCTGTGGGTACCTGAGACGTGTGCCAGAAGCAGCCGGGGAGGCAGCATTCAGGTTAAGGGCAGAGCAGATAAATCAGGTTGGTGGTGTCAGCTGTGGAGCCAGGAGACCTGGAGGACAAAGAGGAAGGACAGCAGGAAGCCTGGAAGGGACCAGCCATGGTCACCAGTGCAGGGGCTATGGCCAGTAAGGAAAGAAGAGGAAGGAAGGCTGCTTGGAGGAGGAAGGAGGGGTATATTCTAAGCCTTAGGTTTACAGTAGCAGTGGGACCTCCAGTGGAAACACCTGAAAAACATCTGGAAGCAGGCTCTTGGAGAAGAGGTCAGGGCTCATGCCAGTCTCAGCCACTGGAGTCGCTAAGGCTGTGCACAAGTGTAAGGTCTTTTAAGAATTACAGAAGTTCTGAACAGAACAAGCAGAAAAGAGAGAGGAAAGGGTGTGGGATGCTCTGGGCAGTGTTGGGGTGGCTTGCAGGGTCCATAGTGAGAGTATAGTGGGGGACAGGGCAGTTTGTGCAGTCCATTCTGCCTGGACACTTGTCAAAGAAGGTAAAGAGACCTTTGGTTAGAGATGGAGGGCAAGGCAAAAGTCTCAAAAAGAGCCTGGGAGCTCCATTGTAGTCAGTTTTCTGTTACTGAAAGTGACGCCTGAGATAATTAGCTTATAAAGAAAAAAGGTTTATTTTGTCTCCCCGTTTTGAAGGCTTCAGTCCACGGTTGGTTAGCAGAGACTTAAAACCTCCCTCTAGGCCCTGCCTTGGAAATTTTCCACCCCTTCCCAATAGAGCCACTCTGGAAAATAAGCCCTTAACACATGGGCCTTTGGGAACACTGCAGATCCACACTGCTGTCAGCTTCATCCCAAGTGAGGCACATGGAGGGAGCCAAGGGAGAGGCAGAGCCTGAGAGATGTTTGGAGACATTCACCCGGCCCCTGCCACTTATTAGGCCTTCCAGAGTCTCGGTAAATGTCAGTAGTTTGCCTAAATGGCCTGTATACAGTGTCTCTGCTCTTTATCTAGATCTAGACGTAGGTGTCACTGTCCTCATTTAACAGAAAAGGCCAGAAGGATCTGGTTATTTACCTAAGGCCCAACAGCTGGCAGGTAATCAGGATCTCAGCTCGGGCCTGCCTTACTCCTAACAAGAGTTTTGAAGCAAAAAATAATGGAAGGGCATGTAGAATCCCTGCAAGGCAAGGAGGGGCTGGGGAGTAAGGGGAAGTCATCCCATGCCCTGCGCCCCAGGATGGCCCACATCCAGAGGCATCTGCCAGTCCCCTACCTCTTTCTTCACAGAGTTACTCCCTGAAAGGCTCCTCAGGGGGCAGCCTCTTCATGGATGGTACAGATACATTATTATTTAAACTGAGGTTTCTCAGTGGACTTTCAGAAAGGCTGCAAAAGGATCCCTTCAGGTGTGTTCCTGGAGAGCTAGGATGTGACGTACCTGTGTGTCATGATCTCCTCTTGACTACTCCCCTTCCCTGGTTTCCACAGCCCTGAGTCTCCCCCACCCCCGGAGCCTACATGGGAAGAACAGCAAACAAATGTGTTGCATCTGACAGGGGACAACTTCCGGGAAACCCTGAAGAAGAAGAAACACACCTTGGTCATGTTCTATGCCCCTTGTAAGTAGCTGTTATTCATGAGGGGAGAGGTAAAAGAGTTGCCTTCCCAAACAAGACCTCCACCCCTCACCTCCAGGGGCCAAGGCAGCCACTAGCCAGTAGTCAACTCCATAGTCTTCTCTACTGGAAGCCAGGCTGCCTGATTTCCTTCTGGGCTAGGAGGGCCTTAAAACTCCAGAGCATCCAGCCTCAGGAGGGCCCACCTCATTTTGACAGACTTTCTTTACGGTGTCAGCCCTAAAGCCCCTTGCTCCTATATGTGGCAGGGACCTGTCTCCTTACATCCTTGGGCTCTTCCATGTTACCTGTTCCATTACCTCCACCTTTCCTCCCCAACCCTCCTCCAGACACTACCCTCACCTTTCTGCTGGCTCTGAGCCATCTTGGTTGAAACTGTGCAACAGGGTCAGGCACATCTGCTCCCACGTTTCCTTGTGATTCTCATTTTAATCAAAGCTTAAGCTGAGGAAGTGACTCGTTTGCTAACATTGGTGTTTATGACCTCAGGTTTTTGTATATTCCCATTCTAAAGTTGTTAATTGACACTTACAAGGAAAGGTTCTTAGAAATTCCCACTCTTCAGTTGCCCTTCTCTCTCTCCCCCCAGGTTACAGCTCAGCTTAATGGAGTGAAGATAATAAAAGCCACCCTCTACAGAGAAGGCAGTCAGCTCAGGATAGTCATAAACCTACTCAGTTGTAGCCAGCCCTCCTGCTTGCTGCCCTCCAGCCCCCACTGCTCAAGTGTCAGTAATTCGTAAAGGTTCTTCTCTTGCTGTCTGGGAGGGGTTGTGGCCTGGTCCAGGGTCTCAGACTCCATCTCTCCGGTGACCAGCACATCCTGACAGCACCCCTGCTCCTTGGCTTTATGAGATTTACTCTCAGTTCCTTATAGAATTTTGCACTGTCTTCATCAGTCTTTCATGTCTACAGAAGCCTGAGTGAATTTTGAGCAATTAACATCTTCCTTCAGGGCAGAAAGGCTCAAGGACAGAAAACCAGGAGATGTGCGACTTGACCAAGGCCTTGAGGCAAGTTGGTGATAGGTAGTCCCTGCATCCTGGGTGCTTCTCTGTCATAGTCATGAAATGACTCAGGAAGACTTCTCAGAGAACAAGCACCTAGTTATAGAAGTAAGTCCTTGGCTAGTGACCTTGTGGATCTTACAAAGTCTAGGGCAGATTCTTTCCCCTAGAAATACCCTCTCTCACGGCCAGTCCTCTGGACCAGAGCTTGGCCCTTCCTCTTCCTCTCTCTGGCTCAGCTTTGACTGAGGATCACTATGTAGGACCCATTGACTGCTGGAGCTGACAGGTTTCCAGTGTAACAGGGAATCTAAACAGACTCCTGGACCAGGGAGATGGCTCAGTAGAATAAGCGCTTGCCTGGCAAGAGCAAGGGTCTGAGTTCAATTCCTTGGTTCTGCCAAAAAATAAAAAAAAAAGGTTAAACAGACTCCTAGCCTGAGACTGTAGTCCTTTCCTTTCTCCCTTCCTTCATTCCTTCCTCGTATAACAGCACTACCCTGGGCAATGTCCAGGGCCTGCGATACCAGGGAAGGAGCCATGACCTTGGCAGGCTTCAAAGCCTCCCTCCCACTTTTTTCTGGCACAACTAGTGCCGTCAATTTGGGTCAGTGTCACTCCATGACTCAACTTCTAACAAAAGGCTTTGTCCTTACAGTTTATCCACCTTTCTTACTGTGCTCTTCTGTGGTATATGATAGGTAATTACTCATTGATAAAGAACATAACCACTGCAGAAAGGCTAATAGTAAAGTCAAACACTTGGTAAAGGTGTCAAATTAGAAAACCAAACCTCCTCACATCACACCTCCCCCAACCTCACGCCATGCGTAACTTTCCACCTTCCACCTCCCACCCACCCCTACATCTTGCCTTCCCCCCATCACTGTACCTCAACATTTCTGCTCCCTCATGTCTGCCCCTTACACCTGCCTCCTGGGTGCTGCTCAGAGTATCCTATTGCTGTGTCATTGTGCTCTATGCTGTGTGGCCCAGCCCCAGGGCTGCCTATCCAGAAACCAGCTCATGTGCTGAGACCCTGCCTGTTGGTCCATGGTTCTCCACTCCAGCTTCCCAGTCCCATCTTTGCTTCTCTTTTTCTATTCTGGGAGGCTTCCTTGGTTTCCTGCTTCAAAGAAGGATATCCCTTTATTTTATTTTATTATTATTTATGTATTTGTTATTAAAGTGTCACTATGCAGCTTGGACTCACAGTGATCCTCCTGTTTTCAGCCTCCCCAATGCACCACTACACCTGGACTCAGTCACCAGCTCAGCACACCTGGGGGCAGGGCCGGCGCGGCATGTGGTGCCCTTACCAGGCAGGCACTTCAACTGCTGAGCCATCTTGCTGGTCCAGGGTCCCTTTTTTAAAAAGCCCAAATGTTGGAAAAAAAAAGAAAGAAAGAAAGAAAAATGCCACTCTAGCTCACCTGACTCCATGAAAATGTGCTCATCAGCCTGCTCGCCGTTCCCTCATCAGCCACATGCTTTCTTTCATATAATGAGAAAATGAGATAGGACAAAGGCCATTAGTCTGAGACCTCAGTGTTTTAAATTGATGGGAGAGGAATTTGCATGAGTCCAGCAATTACCTTTATGCTCTCAATAAGCAAAAAAAGCTAAAAAGGAAAAATTAACAGGGAAGCCAGATTTCAAAGAAGGGAGTGGGCTGTTTTCAGCCTGCCTAATGCTGTTAATGGACCTGGGCTGTTCACAGGGGGCCTGTAGCTGCCTGCAGGATAAGTCTCTGATGTACATTGTTAACCAGGAGATCATACTCTTTAAATGTTTCCAAAATTATGTAACACCCCTCCTCTGTAGTACGATGTTTTCATGAATTTGAGCTTCTTTCCCTTCTGTTAAGTTAAATTGCCATTTTAGGCAATTATAAAATCATCCATGTAGGCTATATTTGGTAAATACTTTGTCTCATTTAGTTCTGCTATAACCCATGAGCCACCTTGTCTCTCATCCTCCTATTGTGTTGGAGAAACCCCTCTGAGCCCCCTCCCTGGCCCCCCCACCCTACTTGGGCCCTTCTGCCAGCCAGGCCATCTGGTGGTCCAGTCCATCTCAGAAACCACCTCATGTGCTGAATTCAGATTAAATTTTTAGCTTAGCCTTAATTTGTTTTTACAAAACCCTTTGAAATCATTATTATCTTATTCTAAAAAGGAGAAAGCAGGGCCAGCGAGATAACTCAGTGGACTAAGCACCTGCTTTGGCAAGCTCAGGGACCAGGGTTCAATAACCCCTGGGGTGTGCTGAGCTGGCAACTGAGTCCAGGTGCGGTGGTGCACACCTGTAATCCCAGCTCTGGGGAGGCTGAAAACAGGACAATCACTACAACTCCAAACTGCATGGTGAGACCTTGCACCAACTACATTTAAAAAGCAAAAAAGAATAAAGTGGAGAAAGCAAAAGAACAAAGCCACTTCTCTTCCCTGCCACCTCATCTCTGCTCCCCAAGGCGAGGATGTGCAGGCGGTTTGTGAGGCAGCTGTGGCTAGAGTCAGCTCTGCCCATCAAGCACGTGGTCTCTCCCACCTGTGTTCTGACCAGAATTAATTATCACAGTCTGGGTCAAACCTGTCCTGCCCTCCTGCCAGTTGTGGTCCCTAGTACCTGGGGAGTGGTTGAGAAAGGAGGTGGGTTTGTCTTCTGAGCTATTTGCGCTGGGGGAGGGGCTAGAGAAGCCTGTGGTGCCCTGTGACAAGCAGAGAAAGCAGCCCACAAACAGCCTCTGCCCCACACTGGGGGGAGGGGCTTCGAGTGACACATAGACCAGAGACAAGACCTCAGAAGAGGGCACACAACTGTAGAACATCGTGGGCCCTCATCGACTGGTGGGCCTTTTCACTGGAAGTGTCTGGGGATTTGGGGACTGTTGGTGACTTTAGTCATAGAATAGAAGGATTTGCCATTGTTCCCGGGACAAGAGGGGAATGTCATGGGCTCAGGGAATCCTAACCAACCTTGCTTCTTTCCCACCCTCAAAACTGCTCTGTGCCCTGAGCCAAGCTCTTCCTGGTCCCATGGCAGCCTCTGTGGAAGGAGCCTACAGAGCAAGACCACAGTGACCCATGCTTAGTTCACGTGGCAAATCAGAGGTCCCGAGCAGGCAAGCACTCTTGCTTGTGGTAGAGACTCCTGCAAAGCTCCAGGCCCACAGATGAGGTGTGAGGGCCACGTATGTGGCCAGGGTGAAACGTGTACTCTGACATTAGAGTGAGGAGGATGTGAGGCAGGCTAGAATGCATCTCTAGAAGGAGGTTCTAGAAGTAGCCCTGGCCCTGCATCCTCCTAACATACACGATGTTCTGTCGCTTCTTGCACAGGGTGCCCACACTGCAAGAAGGTCATCCCACACTTTACTGCTGCTGCTGACATCTTCGTTAATGACCGAAAGGTAAGGGCACCCCCTTTTCCTGTAGTCCACCTCTGTCTTTGCCCTGCCACTGATGCCCTCACTGTCTTCCCTACCAGTCAAATCTCTGGCCCTAAATAGGTCCAGTTCTGCCAAGATGTGTGAGCAGGGTATTCCTTGGGAATCAGGACAGTCTGTCTCTTCATAACAAGGCAGAGCAGACTTCATGAGTGCTGCAAAATCAGCCAAAGACTGCAGTGAAGCGTTATGACCCTTCCCTGGGGAGGGAATGGTAAAAGGGGTCATATGTTTATTTTTTTAGTGCTCAAACATCTTTACAATAGGATTATAGTCAGGCATCACTTACATAATTAAAAATGCAGATAAAAACCCTCACAAAAGTCAAGTGGAGGAGGTTGCAGTGGAGGAGAGCCAGGCCATGCCAGAGGTTCTTTATCCTGCCTAAGCAAAAGGTGCCTGCAGCTGCCAGCTGCTGAAGCATAAAATTAACAAGCTGGAGGTGGAGATTGGATTAGGGTATGGGCAGCAGGCACAGCCCCCACCCCCAAACAGCTCCAGCCCTGGGTCCGAAGGGCTGCCACTGGGAGAGGGACATGTATGGCTTCTGGGCAGGGCTTATGGGGCAAGGCAAGCCCTTGGTGCTCAGGGGAGTCTTGTCAACTAGTCTGTGGGTTCCCTTCTAGGGTCATTGCTTATTTGGTTGATTGATTGATTGATCAATTGATCAATTGATTGATTTTAGTTCCAGGATAGAACTGAGGGCCTTAGTCGTAGTAGCACATACCTATAATATGAGCATGTGGGAGGCTGAGGCAGGAATAAGTAAGGCCAGGCCTGTTTGCCCAGGTGGAATCCTCAGGCCAGGCTGAAGGGAAGCAGGGCCAGACTCAAGCTAAGCAGGGAGATCCAGATGCAGACAGGAAAAGCCGGCAGCCCAGGTGGGGAGGGCTTGTATGAAGCAGCACCTGATGACAGTCTGCAGTGGGGGCAGGCGCACTTCTGGGATCACTTTGCTGGGACAGTGAGAGCTCATGGGTATGGTGAGGTGGGAGGGTATGTAAGGACGAGAAGTGTTTTTTTTCTCTACCTGCTACAATGTGTCCTAATTGACATGAGTATGGTAGCATAAGGCTTTCTTTGTACCTTCTCTGTCACCACCCCACCTGCCTGTGCTGCCCAGGGCTCAGACACAGCACAGGATGGTTGCTCTTGCTTAAGGAGCTCCGGGGATGTCCACCCTGGACTGGAGCAGCAACTGCAGCACTGTCACCCCTCACCCAGGCACTCACCGTGTGCTGGGGCACAGGAGAATGGCCAAAGTCTGTGGTCATCCTGCCCCAGGTCACTCAGGTCTCCATGGGCCCAGAAGATCTGGGCAGGGCTCCTGAGACACCTGGGATGCATGGAGCCTAGACCTGCTTCTCCCGGCCTTGCTGGGGAGCAGCAGTCTTTCAGGGAACAGGGGCCAGGGTGGTTAGGAAGCCCTGCTGGTGTTTGAGGACCATTGGCTGGTTCACCCACCCCTTTTACTCATGAGGGATTTTTCTCCACATTAGGCTGCTGCTGGGGCTGCCAGGAGCCCAGGCTTGTGGCTTGACATGTGTCAGCACAGGTGCAGCCAGGCTTGCCAGCGCCAAGTGGCAACCAAGAGCCATCCTACCTCTCTCCATCACCCCTCACCCATTGCCCTCTTCCTCTTACTGATGCATCTTCATTTGGTTGTCTTTTAAACCTTTCTCTTGGTTCGTTACCTCTGTCCCTCTTCCCAGCTTTCTTCATTTCAAGCCAAGGATCAGTGTCATCTACTTCCAGGAACCCACTTCTCAAGCTGTCCATCCGGGCAGTTGGCCTGTCAGATGCTCCTGGAGGTTCAGCAGCAACAACAGCGCTCTGGGCTGGGGGCTCAAGTCATCGGTGCCCATTTTGTGCTCCAGGCACAGTACAGGATTGCAGAGGGCCATACTGCACTGTCAGATCCGAGGCTCTTGGAGATGCTTCTGGGAACTGTTCCTTTCTAGGAGCTGGCTCTTGTGCTGGCCAAGGCTGGTATTTGAGGAACACTGAATGGTTCACCTGCTCCTTTTACTCATGAGGGATCAAGGCCCAGAGAGGAGCTGTGGCCCTTGCCCAGGGAGGCTCAATGGGTCAATGACAGAACTGGGTCTCTTGCCTTCCTGGTCTTCTTGACACCCCTTGCTGCCACTTCTTAGCCAGAATTATTTTTCTTTTCTACCCCACAGCCAGTCCCAGTTCCTCCCCAATCAATATGCAGTTGGTTCTTCACTTCCATTTTCATAGCCAAAGTCAATATTAGCTCCTGCAGAGATTTATTTTACTGAATCAATAAAGCTGCGTGAGACTGCTCATATTTTAGCTGGGTGCCTCTATCCCCTCCCTCTGGGGAGCTCCTGCTTACTTGGGGGCTTTATCACTTAAAATGCTGGTGATAGAGGGCCTCTAACTGTTATATTTTGGATGGTGTTATTGAAAGGCTTGGGGGACGTGGGCTCATAGTAGAAGGCTGGTAGGGTGGACAGGGTAGGGACCAGGGGAACACTGGGCTACTAGAAGGAGCTCACTTTTTCTGTATGTATGCCCAGCATGGGAATGGGGATGGTCGGCAGAGGTGTGAAGGTCATCCCACAGGGTGGCCACAAGGCAGCAGGCACCTTCTGTATGACTGCCTGGGCCACTGCTATAATCTGGCTGTGATATTTTTTTTTTCTTTCTCAGAACTGGGGATTGAACTCAGGCCCTTGCACTTACCAGTCAAGTGCTTATTCTACTGAGCTATCTCCCCAGCCCCTATGGCCGTCTTATATGGGAGCTCTTGTTTATGAAACTGACCCTCTAACCTACAGGCCTGTAAGCTTCGGACAGCCAGGACCTCTGTGGCCCTCAAATTCCCCTTAATCGATACCTCCTTTATATCATGACTAAGTGAAAGAACAGTAACATACTTGATAGTGCCAAGAGGTGCTCTCCTCTTCCAAGAGCATTATCAGTAGATGTTGCTACAGTCCTCATTTTACTTATCAGGGGACCAAAGCTTAGAGAGATTAACTGATCAGCCCCAGGTTCTGTGGGTGGACAGGAGCCAAGACAGAAGAGACCACATAGGCGTGGACAGAGTTTGAGTCTCCCAGAAGCACACCCAGCTCCTGGGCATCCATGTGGGGAGCTGATTTGACAGGTGGTCCCAGGAACCACCCGGGGGAATCAGAGAAGGAAAGGAGCCAGTACAGGTACCTTAGAGGCAGATGGCTGTGGGCAGTGAGGCCCAGTCCCACAGGAGACCTCTCCAGAAGACGGGCCAGAGTCAGCCCACTCTACCCACATCTGTCACTGGCTTTACACCCAGCTCCTTGGGGCTGGGAAGAAGTGCTTAGGCTGAGGCCTGCGGGGGTTATGATGGCAAGTTCTAGACTGAGAGGACCAACACTATGCCTAGGAACTTGTACCAAGTGCTGTAGGACAAACCCAGAAGTCATACATGTGCTCACTGTGCTACAGGTGACCAGTGCCAATCTGGAGCAGTCTAACAGGGCAGACTCTAGGCTTGTGAGCAGCACTGAGAAGTATACTTGCCACCTTCTTCCCGAAGAGTCTAAGCCTGCCTGTGGGGACAGCCACTCTTGTCCCGTTCTCCCGGAGCTATTGCATATGGACTCTTCATTGCAGCTGGAAGTTGCATTCTGTGTAGGAAGCTGGCCCAAAGTGTAAGGGATTGAGAAGTGGTACAGATTTTTAATTTAGTAGATTTATAAAACCATACACTACATTTCCAACAGCTCCAGGGCATGTATACAAATTAAATTCATAATTTAAATCGGATGCAGGGAGAGCAGCAGCCTGGAGCAATGTTCATCAAATACTCTCACAGCCTAGCAGAGGAGCAGCGGCCTTGGCCCAAACTGGACGCAGAGGGCCCTCCATGGCCAGCTACGCAGAGGCAGAGCAGTGGATGCACACCTATTCCTAGAATTGCAATCCTGTTCTTGGATGATTAGAGGAGCATCTGCCTCCAATTCTAACTAATTCGGAAAACACTTTAGAGGGTGAGCAGGGGCTGCTAGCTGCCCGTCGGGGCCACCTGGCGGCTTTTGCGGGTGCTAGTGAAGGGCAGGTTCAGCGCTCTGTAGGAGACAGCTGCCTCCCTGCCCCAGCTGGCTGCTGCCTGTGGGAATGCAGGGCAAGTGCCATAAGATCTTCTGACGTTTAAAGAGAAGCTGGAAAGCCACATTTTTGTATTAAATCTTCTGGCTCCTTTCTCTGTTGGCAGCTAGTTCAAATTTATTTTCTTTTTAAATTCTATGTGGGCCAAATAGTACAGGACTGAGAGCCAGCTAAGGATCGTGCGTGGTGAGTTTGCAAACTGCTCCAGCAGTCTGACTATGATGCACACCTTGCAGCCAGCGTGGCAGAAGAAAGGTGTGAAGTGTGAAGGGCAAAGGTAGAGCCCTTTCACTCTTGCTGTCAGCCCTGCAGCTCAGAGAACAGTAGCCCATTCCCCTAGGCACAAGGGAAGTGACCGGTAGACAGAGGTGGCCATTGGTGGCCGGCAGAACTTTCCCAAGGGGAGGGGACTCCATCCAAATGGGATTAATCAGCAGCCAAAGAATGACGGTTATCGGACAATCTTCAGTTGTCTTCCTGAATCACTGCTTTAAAATTTTTTCAGAGAATTGCTTGGGCTCTAATATGACTTTTTTATGAGGCAGGTGCTCAGTGATTGGACTTTGTTGGGGTCACCCTGACATCTGCATCAGGCATGGCACATGGCAGGCTTCAGTAAAGGTTTTCAGATGACAGAACTTCCCTCCCGTGTGAACTCACCCTTCCTTGACACTTCTGTATTATGTCTTTTTTTTTTTTTTTTTTTTTTTTTTGCGGAACTAGGGATTGAACTCAGGCCCTTGCACTTGCCAGGGAAGTGCTTATTCCACTGAGCCATCTCTCCAGCTCCTCTGTATTATGTCTTGCCATTGACTCACCCTCTAGTTTGTGGCTTTCAAAAGAGAAAGAAAAGTCATCCCCTGTCTGCTTTATTCCTTCTAGTCTTGAAAGAACAACAAATTGTAAGGAAAATCTACCCAGCATATGGAATTTGTTAGATGAGCAGAGAGAGGCGGTGGCCAATTTCAGAACCTCTTTTTGGCCGAAAATACAGTCACCTTAGTCACGCTACACCATTTTCCTGTTTTGGGTATGTGCCACATCTCAGTTTTCTGCTCCTCTTCTGCCATCAGGCCTCAGTTCCAATAGTGAACTGAGACTGCTTTGTCCCGCTGGCACGTGGGCACCTCCATCATAGCTCACATCACCAGCTTCAGGTTGTCTCATTTTTCATCATTCTACTTAGGCCCTGAGCTACTAGCAGAGACAGAGCAGGGTGTGGGGTCAGTAGAAGTGACTGTCACCGTAGCTAGCATTTACTAATAGGCCTCTATGCTGTCCAGCCTCATTTCTCTTCCTCTTCCTCATGTCCTTATGACTCAGGTTTTATCATAACCCTCATCTCATAGTTAGGAAAATGATCCATTTTTTGCAAGTCTTAGGGCCAAGCGACCCAAGATTTGTGTTGGGAAACTTGACTTAAGCACTCGTGCTTGTCACCTAAGCCAGCCCTGCGCCCAGTCGGATCCCAGTGGAGACACCCAAGCTGACTTTCCCCATTTGGCCCTAGATTGCCTGTGTGGCCATGGACTGCGTCAAAGATGGGAACCAGGACCTATGTCAGCAAGAGTCTGTGAAGGCCTACCCTACTTTCCACTACTACCATTACGGGAAGTTTGTTGAGAAGTACGATGGTGACCGGACGGTGAGTAGGGGAGGCATCCTCCTAGAACCCTTTTTGCTGATGAGAAGGATGGAACAGGAAGCAGCCATGGGGGAGGGCAGCAAAGTGAGGTCACCTAGGAAGCTCAGTGGGTGGCTGTGACACTCCACACTGGCCAGACACAGGCCCTTGGCCTGTCCTAAGAGCCAGGATAGATTCTGGGGTACCCAGTTTTCTTGCCTGCCATCCGGGGCTAGCCTCAGAAGCCAAGTGGAGACCTCCCTGTTAGCCTGCCCACCTCTCTGAGCTGGGGCGTAGGGGGTGAGAAATGCAGGAGATAGTGCGCCCTTGGACTCTTAAGTCTCTTCTCTTCTTTCCTACAGGAATTGGGATTTACCAATTTTATTCGAACCCTCCGGGAGGGAGACCTCGAGAAACTAGGGAAAAGGAAAGAGGAGTTGTAGTTTCTGCCTCAGAGAAAGCTTTCTCATTACACTGTGAATGTTACCTGTTTTGTTGTTCTTTCTGAATTTCCACATGTTCTGAAGACAAAGTTTTTTATAGCCGCTTCTGGCCTTTTGTACAATTTTGAAATAAAATCTAACCATTTATTTTGTGGAGTGGTTTATTTTCTTGGAGCCTATACTGAGGCTCCAAGCAGATGGAGATTTATGTCTCTAGCATTTCACGTCTTTTGGGAGGTGGAAAGCCACACTTCAGTGCCATGTCTGCACCAGGGGACCTGGAGTGCTAGCCTCTGTCAACCATTTGAAAGCAGAATAGAGGAAATGGACCACACAGTGCCCTGCTGGGGAAAGGCTAGATACTAATGGGGACATTAAGGTGGCATTAAGGTCTCAGGGCACTGAAGCAGCCAGTACCTAGGCATTAGCTTCCAGATCATTTCAGTTTGGTTGTGCTGAGTTTTCCTGTAGCTCTTTACATATATCTCTTTCTCCAACTATTTTTGTTTCCTATCTCCGTTCCTTCCCTCCTCCCCCTCTAAAGGCAATCAAGTGGCCATTCAGGGCCAAGTGCAGTGGTCCATCCTGAGCCAGCAACCTCAACCCCCAGCCCACACTTGCCATGGTTGGACAACCTGCTCTGCCTCCTGCCTGCGGACATCTCTTTCCTGACCCCTGTCCCACTACTCCCATAGTCTGTACCTGTCTGTGACCCCCCCAGGCCTCTGTCAGGCAGGACAGCCAGAGCCCTTACACCCTTGTCCACATGGTGGCGTGTCTCCATGGGCAGTGGAATAGCCTCTGTATAGCCAGTCTGAGAGAGTCTTAACTAGTGGTCTGTATTAGTTACTCTTCTCTCATTGCTGGGACAAATACCTGACACTCAAAATGAGGGAAAGAACAGTTTATTTAGCTCACAGTTCCTGGAGGTTTCAAGATACTGGAGGAAAGGCTGGGATGCTGCCATGTTCAGGATGACTCTCTCCACATCTCTGAGAAAGCACAGGCTAGCCAGTGTAATGGTTCCCTCATCTCTGGCCCCACCTCTCGGACCCCGCCCTGGGCCTCTGGCCCCGCCCCTAGAGCCCCTCTCTCCTCCAACCGCGACTGCCCCATAACTTTTCATGAGGCTTTTGGGGGACCACTAGACACAAACCATACCATGGTCCTAGGTTTGGATTCAAAGGGGCAGCTCCATGCTGCAGCACCTGGTGACCTGGCGGGGGTAACCTGCAAAGCCCTGCTCTTCTGGACCCAGCCTCCACCGTTTTGCTGCAGGATCTGCTGAAAGGAGGACAGAGCTGCACAGAGCCTCAGGGTTTCTCAGGGCTCTTTTGGCTGTGAGGCCACAGGCTCAGCTCCACCGAGTGAAATCAAGGCTATGCGAGCCCTTGTGCTGCACAGTTCTCCAGCTTCCCAGCTTATCCCCTGCCATGTCAGCCTGTTTTCCTTTTCCCCAAAGCACTGGCACCTGTGCTTCCCAAGAAGGGATGGGTTTGAAAGAAATAAGCAGCCACTTAAACATGAAAATACACTTACTGGGGACTGTGTGCTCTCATACAAGGGCACATTTAATCCTGACTCAGTGCTGTGTGCCCATTTCTGCAAGCCCTTCCTGAGAGCATGTATGAATATGCTCATGTGTGTCCCTTGTGGTTATTTAGAGTATTTGTGAAAGGAACTTATTTGCTTGGGTCTTTTTAAAAATCACACCCAACTGGCCACTTCCTGGCTGAGAAGCCCTAGTGCTGACCGTCAAGGTGCAGGGCTTCCTTTCTGTCCATTCTGTGGTGTCAAAGTTCAGATTTTCCTGGCCCAGCTTCTATGTAAGGACCCAGATGCCCCATGACATGGCAAACTTCCCACCACCCTGTATTTGCAGGACTTCCTCATTGCCAGGCCTTTGCCTTGAGTCTGCGCATGACGGGAGCAAGTGCACCCTGCTCTGAGAGCTGCTCTGCAGACAGAGCCCCTTCTCCTCCACACGTTCACCCAGAACTTCATGCACATCGAGTCATACATTTACATTTTCACCAGCCATTCACTGTGAGTTTCTCTGTGTCCTCATTAACAATTGGTATTGTCACTTTTTAAAAATTTTAGTTCTATTGATAGGTAGTAATATCACATTATGGACTTCACTTAAATCTCCCCAGTGATGTTGAATTTTCTTGTGTGTGCTCATTTGCATAGTCTCTCCAGTGAAATGTCACTTCCTATCTTCTGCCCATTTTCTTACTGGATTGTTTGGGATTTTACTCTTGCATTTTATGTGCTTTATATATTATGGATACAAGTCCATTGTCATATGGTCATTTGCAAGTACTGTCTCTCATTCTCACCTTTTTACCTTTCACTAGGTCTTGTGAAGCAAAATATTTAAACTTTAATATTTAGATCCAAGTTACCTTTTTTTTTTTTCATGGATCATGCTTTTGCTGCCATGTCTGAACCTATTACCAAGGCTTATGGGTCAAAGATTTCCTCCTTTTTTCAAAAGCTTTAAATTTAACTCTATAATGCATTTTGAGTTAATTCTTATATAAGGTCAAGGTTAGGTTCCAGCACCACTTGTTAAAAAGACTACCTATTTTGCACCTTTGTCAAAAAGTAGTTAGTTGTACTTATATAGGCCCGTATCTGAATTTCCTAATCTGTTCCATTGATCTATATGTCTATTCTACCATGAATACTACACAATCTTAATTATTCATTATATAAAATAAGTCTTTCAACTAGGTGGGCCAATTTCTCCCATGAGTTCTATTTTTCAAAATTGTTTTAGTAATTCTAGTTCTTTTGGATTTCTATCTAAATTTTGCAATAATCTTGACTATCAAAAAAATTCTCAGATTTTTCAGAATAAAAATTTTCAAATAATTCTGAATAGACATGTGTATGTTATATGTTATATAGACATGCAAATGCATACAGGCAGAAAAAGAGGCAAAAGATAAACAAATGGTGAGTCTGGGCAAAGGATATGTGCAACTTTTATAAGTTTGAAATTACACTAAAACAAAAGGTGCTCCCCTCTTTCCTAAAATAATTACACATGGAAAACAAGAGTATGCCATACATAAATAATTTAGGAGAGGATGACAGCCCTGCATCCTGAATGGCCAGCACCCAGGACTCCCTTTTCCCAGAGAAGAACACCAAATTGTCTGAGAGTCCGGCCTCGAACTTGGCAGAGGGTGTGATCTCAAGAAAATCATAGGCCCAGCTCAGTATATCACAAGTGGGAGTGAGGTGCCCAGGTAGGGCAAGACCCGGTACTAAATACATTTAAAAAATAAACAAATAGAAAAAAAAAAAAAAAAAAGAGAGTGCCTGAGCTGCTGCAACTGGGTCTGGACCTGAGAAGTACACACCCCGATGCAGGCCCCACGTCTATTCCTGGTTCCTTTTGGTTCTAAGTCCAAGATGGCCAGTTTCAAGGATCAGCTGATTGTGAATCTCATTAAGGAGAAACAGATAACCCAAAATAAGATCACAGTTGTTGGGCTTGGTGCTGTTGGCATGGCCTATACCATATCAGTATCTTAATGAAGCACTTGGCAGATGAACTTGCTCCTGTTGACATCATGGAAGACAAACTGAAAGCAGGGAAGATGGATCTCCAACGTGGCAGCATCTTCCTTAGAGTACCAAAAATTGTTCCTGGCAAAGATTGTAATGTAACCACAAACTCCAAGCTGGTTATTATTATTGCTGGAGCACATCAGCAAGAGGAAAAAGTGTCTTAATTTGATGTAGTGTAATGTGAACATCTTCAAATGATGTACAGTTGCAACTGCAAGTTGCTTGTGTCCAACCCAGTGGACATCTTGACCTGTGTAGCTTGGAAGATAAGCAGCTTTCCCAAGAATTGTGTTACCAAAATGGTTGCAGACTGGATTCAGCCCAATTTGGCTCTCTGATGGGGGAAAGGTCGGGTGTGCACCCACTGAGCTGCCATGGCTGGATCCTTGGGGAGCACAGATTCCAGCATCCCTGTGTGGAGTGGCATGAATGTTGCTGGTGTCACCCGGAAGAATCTGTGCCCCAAGTTAGGAACTGATAGGGATAAGGAGCATTGGAAAGGGTTCGCAAACAGGTGGTTAACAGTGCTTTCGAAGTGACCAAAGTAAAAGCCTATACAGCCAGGGCTATTAGGCCATCTGTGGCAGATTTGGCAGAAAGTATAAAGAATCTTAGAAGGGTGCATCCAATTTCTACCATGATTAAGAGGCTCTATGGAATCAAGGATGATATCTTCTTTAGTGTCCCTTGTGTCCTGGGACAAAGTGGGATCTCCGATGTGAAGGTGATTGTGATGCCTGAGGAAGAGGCATGTTTGAAGAAGAATGTGGATACCCTGTAGTTGATCTAGAAGGAGCTATAGTTTTAAAGTCTTCCAGTGTCACCATGTCGTTGTGTAGGCTACAGAAGGGTTTCATTGGGGTTGTGCCAGTTGTCCTTTTTATCTCACGTAGTTGAAGCAGTACTATTAGGATGTCCTCAGGAAAACATCAGTTTCTAAAACTTAGAAGTAGAAATGGTTCACAAAATCCCATAGCACTGTCCTAGTGCCAGATGGTGCTACACTCGTAGTCCTAGTTAGTATGAAGTAGCCTAGCAGTTGAGACACTTCAGCTAATGCCACAAAGGCTTCAGTCACCCTTCAAACAAATGTGTGTTACTCTTATACAGCTTTAGCCACCAAGCCTTGTCAGTCCTTTCCCCAGTTGGTCACAGCCTGGGATCCAGTGTACAAATCCAATATTGCATGTCTTGTGTATAACTGTTCTAAAGGATTTTATTTTGTGATATATATAATTAATATAATATTACGTTATATATAAGATTACATTGCCATATAATGTAAAAAGAAATGATCTACCTGTGAACAGTGCAACCCAGTGTCACATCAACTACAATACAAAATACCTTGAACAGTGGCTATTATCAGTGTTATTAATATAGTACGGTAAATAATTAAAAACATGTCCTTTTCTCTGAATAATAGGCAGAGAATAAACATATTGTTCTTCCTTGTCACCTCCCACCCTTGCTCATTTTCAAAATTTCACTTATCCAAAGTCAGCTGCAGTCTGAAAACATTAAATGGAAAATTCCAGAAGTAAATAATTTCTAAGTTTAAATG